CCCAATTAGTTTGATCTTTATCATCAAAGCTTCGGATGTAATTTTTTAATGTTGAATGTGACCTTTCAAGTGCCCCATTCGATTGTGGATGATATGCGGTTGTATGTAATTTTTTTATATTTAAGATTTTGCAAATGTGTTTAAAAATATCAGACATAAAATTTGTTCCCTGATCCGTAAGAATCGTATCAGGTATTCCGTATATACAAACAAAATTTTGCACAAAAGCCCGCGCTACAGTGTTAGCTGTGGCGTCTGCTATCGGTACTGCAATAGAATATTTGGTTAAATCGTCCTGCAAGGTTAGAATGTAATTATTAGATTGTAATGTCTTTGGTAAAGGACCCACCAGATCTAAAAATAGCTTTTGAAATGGACCGGAAGCTTTGTTGTTGTGATTTCCATAGGCTGTTTTATTTTCCTATGCATTTTATTCTTTTGACATGTCTCACACTGTTTAATGTAATTTTTTACTTCCCTTTTCAATCCTTTCCAGTTATAGTTTTCACGGATTCGTTTTACCGTCCTCGTTATCCCTTGGTGTCCTCCCAATAGATTATCATGATATTCCTTTACAATATCTAACTTCTCTTGGTCGGTTAAAATGTTCGTTTGCCCATTATATACATTTAATTTTATATTAGTTTGTTTAAAAATGAAATTAATCATTATATTTACGTCTGATAGTATTTTATTCACGTATTCTAAATCTAGGTCAAGTGCGTCGACCTTCATTTGTAAACAGTGATTGATAACATTTTTAAATGCGTTGAATATTTACTCTTGTATTTCAACCTGATTATTTTCATTGATGTTATTATAAAAAATACATTTGTTATTATTTGATTGTATTAACGTTGCTATACGTTGTTTATTTTCATTAATAAGTGCCCAACCATTATTTTTATTAATTATTTTATTTATCGAATAACTAATACGTTCCGTATGTATAAAATATTATTATGTTTTGTGAATTATCTGCAATATTTTTATTATAATATTTAATTTTATTATTCAAGTTTAATATTAAATTATCTTTCTGATTAATATAATCATTGTACGTTAAAGTTATTTCATTCGCAGTGAAAATGTTGTTGACTAACGCCTCATTATTATTATCAATCTGAATTCTTGATAATGCATCGGCGTTGTTGATAGAACCTGACCTATAAACTACGTCATAGTCAAATTCTGACAACATCAACCTCCACCTCATTAATCGAGAACTCGGATCATTAATTCCAAATAGCCATGTTAATGGTCTATGGTCAGTAACTACTGTAAACTTTTGTCCGTACAGATAAGGTCTGAAATTTTTTATACTCCATACTATAGCTAATAATTCTTTTTCTATAGTCGAGTAATTTATTTCGGCTTTTGAAATTGTTCTAGATGCATACGCAATGGGTAATTCTTTTCCTAAAGTACCATGTGATAACACGGACCCTATTGCAAATTGAGAAGCATCTGTTGCCAAAATAAACGGTTTTTCGAAATTTGGATATTGTAATATGTTTCTAATAATTTCCCTTTAAGTGTATTAAATGCCAACTCACATTGGTCATTCCAAATAAATTTATTTTCCTTTTTTAATAACAATGTCATTGGTTTCGCGATTTGTGCAAATTTCGGAATAAATCGCCTATAGTAATTAGCTAAACCAATGAAACTTTTTACTGTAGTAACATTATGTGGTCTCGGGAAGTTTTTTACGCAACTAGTTTTCTCAGGATCTGGTTTTATTCCGTCCTCTGTAATCACATGACCTAAGTAAATAACTTCCTTCCTCAAAAATTGACATTTATGAGGTTGTAGTTTTAGGTTGTGTTCCCTAAGTCTTTCAAAAATTTCCCTTAACTTTTTTTCATGTTCTACTAAATTAGACGCGTAAACTATGATGTCATCTAGATAAGCAAAACAACGCGTGCCTTCTAACCCAATTAGTACCTTTTGCATCATCCGACTAAAAGTAGCCGGTGCAGAGGTTAGATCAAAGCCTAATCTCAGAAACTCAAAGTGCCCTTCAGGTGTAGAAAACGTGGTTTTATGCGTATCTGCGGGATTTATTTTTATCTGATGATAACCGTCAGCTAAATCAAGTGTTGAAAAGTACTTAGATTTGCCTAATTGATCTAATATAGAATTTATGTTCGGTAATGGATATGCGTCACCTATTATTACCTCATTAAGTTTTCTGTATATACATATTCTATATTTAGATTTCCCGTTTTATCTGCGCGTTTTGGTACGATTATTATTGGAAAATTCCAAGGTGATTTGCTTGGTTTTATTATTTCATTACTTAACATCTCTTTTATTTGTTTATTAATTTCCTCTTTATGAACTACGGGTAGGCGATAAGGTCTTATATTTATAGGGTGAATATTTTCTTTAGTAATTATTTGGTGAGTTTCGATTTCGGTAAAAGTTAGTTTATCGGTCGGAAAATGAAATAGATCGGAGAAGTCATGACATATTCGCCTAATATTTTCCTTCTCCTCATTATTTAGATGTCATAATTCTAACTGCTCATCTAATAGTGTTAATCTATTGGAGGCTATTTTAGTTTTATCATCATTAATTAAGTATACTTGTTTTTCATCAAATATCTCCCAATTATTTTCTGACAAACTTGGTATTTCAATCTCTATTTTTTGTTCTGAAGAATTAATTATGCAACCGACAACATTATTATTTTTTACCTCACCTATTGAGTTTCCTGTTATTAAATGTTCATTTATCTGTTTACCCTCTATTAATAGTATCTTGCTCTCTAAATTATCTGGTGTACGTATTTCATATAAGAGTTCAGTTCACGGTTCAATTATTAATTTTGTATTTGGAATAACGATTGTATTATTTTCCATATCTATTTTAATTTTATTAGTTTTTAGAAATGGTTTCCTAATATTCCTGTGTTTGGAATAGAGCATTTATCCGAAACGACCTCGAATGTTTCGAGTAATTTTTTATTATCCACAGTAATATTTATTTTAGTTTCACCAATAGTAAAAATTGGATTATCACTAATTCCTTTTAGTAAACGTCTTTTACTTACATCTACTTTTTCGTTACCCTTTAATTTAGATATTTTTACCAGATTCATATCTGATCCGCTGTCAATTAAAAATTTTCCCATGTTATTTATTAAATTTTCTGAATAACAATTTAAATGGTCTTTATCTAAATTTACCGCAATCATTACATGATCGTCTTCATTTATTATTTCGTTAACTGTATGTATATCGGCAGTTTTAGATGTGCTTGGATTTTGCATTTGTTTTTCTTTATTAAATTTTAGTTTCCTACAATCTGACACGTGATGACCTACTTTCTTACAATAATTGCAAATCAGTTTTGGAGGTCTCGAATCGTATTCTTTTTTAACTTGTGGTTTCGTTTCACTATCATTTTTATTATAACTCTTATTCTTATTGTATGTTTTATAGTTATTATAATTATTATAATTTGGCTTCGAATTAGTTGATGATTTATTATAGTTAAAATGATATTGATTATTTTCGTAATATTGTTCTTCTTCTAATGCTATACTCACAGCTTCTTCGAATGTTTTAATATTTCTACCTTTTATAATTGTTCGAATTTGTGGTATTATCCATCAAGAAATATTCCTAATGCCTGTATTTTTACGAATTCTGCGAAACTTTTAGCTGTTGTAAGGCTCCTACCCTCTGAGGATGCTATTGCAAGATCGTGGTATGCCTTATCGATTCTGTTACTGAATCCTAATACGCTTTCCCCCCTTCTTAGTCTTATACTATTTAATTGTTTTTGCAAGTAAGGTATAGATCTCGTTTTTAAAAATTGTGTCCTTAAGATTGATTTTAGTTCCCCCCATGATGTAATTTGTTTATACCGTATGCAGTCTGCTGCTGCCCCCGTTAAAGATGTGTTCATTATACCCTCTAGAATCATAGGTTTTATAAAATCCTCGATATTACTAAATATAAATTCACATTTATTTTCAAAGTAATATAATTCATTGCCATTTTCCCCATTAAATGAAGGAAGCATTTGTAATGCTGCTTGGCCTGATAATAATTTTGGGATCGGTCTTGGTGCATCGGATCTGGATTGCCATTTTATTATTTATGTTTTTCGAATGCTCTGAAGTATTATATTTTATATGAAATGCTCTGTATATTTATTTTGCAATTTTAATTATTTATAATGCTCTTTAAATTTATTTAATCGGATGCTCTGTATTTATTTAGAATATTTTATTTTATAATGGATGCTCTGTAATTATATTTATTTAAAATGCTCTGTAATTTTATTTATTTAGAATGCTCTGATTTTATTTAATTAGAATGCTATGTTTTTATTTGGGATGCTCTGTAATTTATTTTATATAGGATGCTCTGTAAATTTTATTTTATATAGGATGCTCTGCAAATTTTATTTTATAAGGATGCTCTGCAAATTTTATTTTATATAGGATGCTCTGCAATTTTATTTTATATAGGATGCTCTGTAAATTTTATTTAATATTGGATGCTCTGTAAATTTTATTTTAAATCGGATGCTCTGTATACTTTATAGGATGCTCTGTTGTACAGTTTAATTACCCCTTATATCTATACAATTATTATATACTTAAAATAGTTATAATATTGAAGTGATGTCCATTTGAATTGGTTGCGTTGCTTGGTTTTGGATGCTCTGGATCTTCGTTGCGAAGTATTCGATTTTCTTCCCGTCACTGGTTCGTTAATTTTCCTCTTCGTCGTCACGAAAAGAAAAATTATGTTTGATTTTATAAAAAAAAAATCTACACCGCTGCCACCAAAATATGTCGTGCACCCAAAGGGGATTACGACGGGTAGTGATGGAGAGGAAATGAAAACAACACTTTGAAGAATATGTGTACAATTATAAATGACTTTATATATTAAATTAAACAAACATTTCAGTAGTTAAGTATAAATAGATATTCGGTTACACTGTACAGGAGTCCCGTCGGACACGACTTGTATACAATAAATACAGTCAGTGCCTTCGTAAGCTCTGTATGAAGAAAGACTCCAGATTGACACAGTGGCCAGTGAGTAGGCCCATTATATAGGGGCCCACGTGCGTTATTGTATGATATTACGAAAGTGGAGTGATTATTAAAAGAGCCTTTGATTGGTCCGTCAGCATAACGTGATGCTGACGTCTTATGGCGTGATGTGGTGTATTGACGTAAATGAGGCCTGCTCATTACACCATCGACGCATACAAATACGGTGTACGCCCGTTTAACTAAAATATACGCGTTACGAAACGTGTCGTCTTATCTGAAATATCGCCCGTGTTTGATCCGTTAGGCTTGATAAGTCCAATCATAATTCAATTAATAATAATAATGCAACGATTGTGGCAGGTAAATACGAGCTGGGACGCCGCGTTACCTTTAAGGCCCCCATTCACGATCAGTTTGCGCAACCACTATGTTTGCGCAAAAACATGGTTGTGCAAACACACGTACATACACGGTCAAGCGGTTTGTGTGAACCTCAGTCCTCAGTACGTTTTTGTATATTACGTAGACATAATGTCCGACACAGAAATTGCTTGCGCCGCGATAATTATTGCCTGTTTGACCGAAAAGAAAAAAGAAAGCAGAGAATATGGATGAAGGAATGGCTAAAGAAGAGGGTAGAATTTGGTCATGACCGTTTAGTATCAGAACTCAAACTAAGTTCAATAGTTTATTACAAAAACTATCTTCGAATGGATGCTGATACGTTTGGAGAATTACTAGAAATGGCTACACCTTTAATAGAAAAAAACACTACAGTCATGAGGACACCAATATCGGCCGAACAAAGATTGTTGGCCACTTTAAGATATCTTGTAAGCGGTAATTCATTCGAAGAGCTAAAATTCCAAACTGCCATAGCAGCCCAAACACTTGGGAGAATAATTTTGAAACTTGTCAGTAGATGATGATTGTTGAAGACTTTGCAAAAGACCTTTAGATGTACCATATTTGACAACTAAAGTATTGATAGGAACTTCGTACTTCGTTTATTAAGTCTTGTAACAAAAGTGACGTATAAAATCTTCTATGAATAGCTAACTTGTGCTTCTAGAACACCAAAACACTGAGTTATAAATATTTTAAAACAAAATATATTAAACATACAGTATACAAAATTTTAAGCTGTTTTTATTAATATTTTCAAACTATTTAAGCTATAGACATGGTAGAAAACTAATTAAGTTGTAGGAAATAATTTGTGACAAAAAAAAAAAAAAAAAAAAAGAAAAAAAAAAGGCTGTTATAGAAATTTGGTTTGTTATGTTGGGTAATAAGCTTTTAGTTATATAAATATTAAAAAAAAGAAGTCTTTCAGAATCTAATATTATAACATTAACTTAATATATAACATACTAAAATCAGAACTCATAAAATAGTAAATTAACTTTTTTCTATGATGTGCGAACAGTTAAAGTTATTTTACAGTTATTATAGCTAGAATGATATATCATTCAAAATATTTTTTATGATCTATAAAACAGTTATATTTAACCATCAAATGTTTTTAACTTAAATATATAAAACTAACAAATAGATAAGAAGATAAAAAACTTACATCCGAAGACATATTAAAAGTGGTACCAGTCATAGCTTTAACAATGAATCCTTCTTCGATACCAATCATGTCACCAACCTTACGCATAGAATGTAGTAGTTTTTCCCATATATTAAGAACTCTAAACCAATCTAAATGGCCAATCTGTTCACTAACTGAATATGGAGTAATCTAAAATACAATACATAATAATTTTTGCTTATTAACAAATAAAAATATTCGCCAATAATCTGTCTTACTAAATAAAGTAGATTTAGTTCAGAGTCAAGGGCAAAATTTTGTCTAGCTTTATCTAGTTTTTTAATCAATTTGAGACCAATTTCTGGTGTAACAGATGCTGCAAGACAAGCTTGGCCTAGATTTGTTGGAACTAATTAATTGTCGTTTTCTCGTACAAATTGATGTTCAATTAACAATTTGAGACATCGATGAATTGGATTCTCGTTGACTATAGAATTTTTATACAATATATTCCAATTATATATTTAGTAAATTCATCAATATAAGTTTATTGAAAATATACTAACAATGTTCATTAGTTGACATATAAAGTAATGTACACTTAATATATTCGAAAGCTTCTTCTGTAGTGCTAACAACACAACCAGCTACTACTTCTAACAAGGCTCGCTTTAGACAATTAGAAAAATGTCCAACTCCAAAACAACTTTTAATTAATGGAAGTTTCTGAGTAGCAACTTCTTCGCCCATTTTTCTTTCATTTTCATTACATATTAAATAACTTTCTCCTGTAACAAAATTATATTTATTTTTATAAAAATTTAAAATAACAATATATGTTGACAAACCAGCAGTATCTACGCCCATACGACCAGCACGTCCAATTATCTGTCGATACTGAAGAATATCAATAGGAAATCCATGACAATGTGGTGATCTGACAATAAATCTTGGCGCAGGTAAATTTACACCAGAAGATAATGTTGATGTTGCCACTAATACTCGTATAATATTTTGTTTGAATCCACCTTCGATTATGTCCCTTTCATCCATTGTGAGACCTACAAATAATATTAATATTTTTATCAATTTACTTTAATTTTCAAGATAACTATTTATTATTAAAATTAACCTTGTCTTTATAATTTTATAGGTAGAAC